TAATTTCAATTGTACGTATCGTTGTGCCGCACTTTTTTTGTTAAACTACCATTTAAAAAACCTTTGTTTTACGAAGATATTCTATTTCTTCCGCTTGAACAATTATTATGTAATTTTATTAGACGAAAGTTCAGTGTTTTAATGATCTAAAAAATCGCTTTTTTTGAGTTCTGCTGGCGACTTTCATTTATTTATTCATTTATTATTATGTAAATCTGAAGTTAAGTGAGTGATCTGAAAGATTATTCCACATGCGCTACTGAAGCCCACTGAAGAAGACTCACTGATTATTGTATGTGACTGTTCTTCTTTTGACTTATTTTATTAATTTTTCAAGTTGCTCTCAATTGTTTCTTGTACTTGTTATCTGGTCCTGAAAATTCGGCATAGTCTTTTAATTTGTTTAAATTCTAATTGTTCAGCAGCGTTTAAATTTTTAAGTTCAGGAAATTTTTATAAAGCTTTTGACTGTGCAAGACTAAAATGCAGAGGTATCTTTACTGGTTCCAACTTTCAATCCTGATTACAGTTGGTAGGTTAAACAACTATAAATCTCAATTTTAGTCATTCTTACCAAAATTCTTGACACTTTAAACTTAAAAATAGTAATTAAAAAAAAGCGAAAAGACGAAAAACAGCAACAGAATATGGCAGCTTATAGGGATGTCCAAGAAGCCATCGAAAACCAGAACTACTGCACAAGAAGAAATAGATCAAACTCGACTGGATGCCAAATCTTTTGAAGCTGTCCGCAATTTACACCTGAACTGGTACAATTACGCTCTGAAAGCTTTAATTGGGCAAATGGGAAAACAACTCTACGAACACCTAAGGCCAGGTTGTACCGAACATTTGCCAGCACCTTTGTTTATTTCTCCTATAGTTTAATTAGTAATGATAAAATAAATGATTTTTTTGTTTTTTTATTGTAGCAATTTTTTAGATGAGCGCCGGAAGCTGGCAAAATGCTTATACAAAGTTGATGAAAAATCCTCTTTAATTGAAGGTGCTAAATGCTTAATACGTATTCGAAAAAAAGCAAAAGCAACACGTCAGAATAACGGTTGTGGAAATCTGGAAACGGACCATCTTTTTTGCGATGATTCAAAGCTATCTTTTATTACCACAAAATTACCCAAAAACGCTACTGTAGCTACTGATAGCAATACAGTTAATACTTTGAATCTGCCGAAAAAACAAGCAACGGCAACGCTAGACACCAAAAATTTTACAGTCATCAAGTTAGATGATATTAGCCAAGAATTTTTCAATAGGCATAAGATGGAGTTAAATGTGCTTGCCCAGCGAGATAATCCTATGTATGTGGCCAGCGATTCAAAAATTCCAAATTCTACATTGAGGTTAGACAGCGATAAAAGAATGTCAAATCGCCTAACACTACTGGCAAAAAGACAGAAACGACAGATAAAAAAACTGAGGAAGTTCCAGAAAGTTTCAGATGAAGAAACATTTTTAAAATATCTCTCACGTGCGACAAAGCGTATTGTACGACAACTGGTATTAAATGCAAATCAAAGCTTAATTAAATTGAAAAGCAGAATAAAACGAATCGCTTCTAGCCTGTTTGACAAACACGCGGAGGAAAAAACAGCAAATCAAACCTCAGTAAAATTCAAACAAATTAAATAATTATATCAAAAATTAATAAATTTATTGTTGACTGTGCATAGAAACTCATTTCTCAAAATTGTTTATTCCTTTTTTATTTAGATAGCGACAGTTTAGTATAAGACGACAGTACCAATGTACTGCTTGATTTATTCTGTCTAAAATTTCTATTTACGTGAATAACAAAAGAAAACTCTGAAAATTGGCTAACGAACCAAAACATAACAAAAGTTTCCTCTTTTAGGTGATAAAAATGAAGCTGCTTGATAAAATCCCTGATCCATTCCAGAAATCAGCCATTCAAAAGGTGAGTTATTTGTTGTCATTTGTATCGAGCCGCAAGTAATAATCAAAAACATAAAAACGTATTTCAGCTACTTTTATCTAACGCAGTATTTCTTAAAACTGCTCAGTTATCGCCAAGTTTTATTGCTGTATTTGCAGATAGCAAAATTAATCCGAGTAAGTGTACATGGTGAAAATGTGGAAGAAAACGCTGAAAAGTGGCTTAACTCGTATCAAAAGCTCCTCGAGTTTAGAAAAAAGTTTGAAGAAAAGAAGGCGTTACCGGGAGCTAAGGTGTACCAGAAACGACTGTATGATATCGTTCTTGAAGATCACTTAGATGATAAAAAAAAGTTTTCTCAGGTTCACTATTTTTTTTCCACTTATCTGTCTTCAATTTAGGATAAAATAATTTTTCCACTACAAAAGAGAGTAAGATAAAGGTTAAAGACAAGGACAGTAATAGAAATAAATAAAATTTCAATTATTAGAATACTTTAATTAGTCAGAGCAGTTCTGTAAAAGCACTATGCTCTAATTATTATGTCGTGCCTCAATATTTCCACTACTGGTTAGATTAACAAGTACAGTTAAAAAAGAATTTTTTTTTATCTTGTTAGACTTTCGTATTAGCAAGATAACAGTTTGCAGTTTCAAAAAGCTTACTATTATAGCAATTTTTAATAAAATTCGAGTTGTGCACAACACTTGTTTCACTGATCTCATAAATATTTAAATGTTAGTCAGCAGATTGGTATTTTAACAGAACTGACACTAAATATGATAAGTTTTAAAAAAATTTTACTGTTGTATGAAATTCTTCTAGTTTAAAAGTTTGCTAAAAAAAGAGCAAAAATTTCATTTGTAGAATAAATAAGTTGCAATTCCAGCAGAGTTTTATGTAAATTTCAATTGGAATAATGCAACAAAAAATAGCACTGAGTGAGACAAACACTGCAATTTTTGTATTTATATAAATCACTTACAGCTCTTGCCTTTATTGTATTTAACCGACATATTTAACTAACCACAAAAAAACTTGAATTTAATTAGACAGAAAAATTCAAGTTTCAAATATTCTTTATATAAATTGAGTAGTTTTCAGTTACTGAAAACTTTTTTATTAGACTTTTACGATAGTGGTTTTTAGAGAACGTTGAACAGCAATTACTCTTTAGAAATATTTAATGACCTAAATAAGCATAACAGCTTTAAATTTTAACAACTTAAACAACAAATTTACATAAAATAGATCACTAAAACTAAAAGTAAATTTAGAAATTTTTAGCATACGGCTCCAGACTTCATAACGTTGGCTCTGTCACTAATGAATACGTTAAAATTGAATAATACAGACGATGAGTTTTCAAGCATTAAATTTTTAAGCCCCCGTTTCGCGTCTGTAATGCCGGACAAGGTAAATGCTAAATCCACAATTCTCTCTCCCTCAGTTCTATCGTTCTACGAAGACGACAATCCAAACAACATTGCATCGTTGCCAAAAGTATACTTGTTAAAGTAATTTTGACTGATAAATTAAATTTTTAGTTAATTGCAGTAAGCGATTTTTATTGAAATTAAGCTGTGCATTTTGCTGTGCAATAAAATTGAAAATGTTTTTTTTTTTTTTTTTTTTTTGCTTTAGTATTAAAATTAAAATGCTAAGTTGTAGTTTTTACAGATCCTAGATAAAGCCGGAATGGAAAAACATGACCGTGATACTGTTGTTGAAGTAATGATGGACGTCAGTGGAGCCAAAAATACTGTTAATATGGCTTTAGAATTGATGAAAACTATCAATGCCACTGAAATCACTCAGCAAACTATCGAGGTCGCTTTCTCTGAAGATTTCTGAAGACTTTTGTCAACACTGGCATTATTATAATAAACAGATAAATAATTAATCAAAAGAAGTGGAACTTAACGACAAATAGTTTAAAATTTTGATCAAAATTTGAACTTATCTAGTGTTTTACAGGCAACCTCAAAACTGGATGATGCTTTTAAGAATCTAGAAGCAAGTTTTGATGCGCATCAGAAGTCTGAAATAAACAGCAACGGTTTTACCTTTTTAGAACCGGATCAACTGGAAACTATTATGCAAAAATATGGTTAGTTAAAATTGTTCGATAAATGGGTTCAAAACAATTATTAAGTCTATAAATTTTTTTCTTGGTTTTTTGCCTTACTTTTTCAAGCAGTGACTTTATTCTGAGACAATAAAAATTTTTAGGAGTTGATCAACCAGAAAAAGTTGGTTTTGATATTGATAGTTATCGCAACCAATCAAAGGGTGAACGACATAGTAACCTATGGAAAACACTTGAACTAATTGCATATAATAACGTACAATTTTAAGCGTTTTTTTAACGTTTTTTTACACTTAATGTATAACTTGGTAACTGTTACTCTATTGTTTATGTAAAAAAACTACTAGTATTGTTGTAACGAAATTTCAGACACATCGAAGAATGAAAAGAGATGATCCCGGCGTACTAGTCGCCTTAACTGTTCTGAGGCCTATAATACTGTCACCATACTTATTTGCTCCAGTGTTCGGCTTGTCAATTTTAGGCCCAGTGATCTTATCACCTAATCTTTTCAGTCCACTGATTTTAAATCCTTCAGTTCTTGGTCCATTTATTCTCAGTCCTTCAATGTTTACACCATTCATACTTTCACCATTCGTCTTCTCTCCATACATTTTATCACCAGTATTTGCTGGACCTTTTATTTTAACTCCATACTGTTTATCACCAAATATTATGAATCCGTATGTGTTTAGTCCGCTCATTTTAAGCCCTTATGTATTAAGTCCTGATATTTTATCACCACAAGCACTTGGCGGTCCAGTTCTGTCTCCAAACGCTTTTTCACCAGCAGTTCTAACAAATGCCGCTCTTATGACCAGTGTCCTCTCACCATCTTTCATGTCATAATAAATGTTGTTTTTTTTAATTCTCTATAATCTTCTTATTAAATAATTGAAAATAGTTATAAAGAAACAATTGTTGTTTCAAATTTGTTTCTCAGAATATTCATTACGGTATTAGAACTTAAATGCTTCATTTTTTTTATTGTCAGCTAATCAAATGCTAGAAATTTTGTATCGTTGTTATTATGTTAAGGCAGTAGTTCTGTATAGTGTATTATAATTGTTACAGTTGATAGCTTTTTTCTCAGAACATTTATTTGCAGTCTATTGTTGTTATCTGTAATCTATAAAAGAAAAGATTGTATGTTTTTTCTTTTGACTATTGTCTTAGTAATTTATCAACTCTTCTAGGAATTGAATTGTTTAATTTAGACTACCAATTAAGTGAAAAACATTTTGTACTTACTACTTTTGCTGCAAAAAAAAAGGAATACGACAGATATAGAAAAATATATTTGTATAAATTAAAACGGATTACCTAGAAAGAAGTTGGCTCTAATTTTTACTGAAAAAGCGGAGAATAAACACAAAAAATATGAAAAATTATGCCAAAATTAGTTTCCAAAAAAAAAACAACAACTGTAAAATTGCTTGTCAAGAAAAAAAAAAAACAGAAAAAAGTGTGCTCAACATGCAGCAAAAATCTACAAGACCTTTATAAATTTAACTGTTCTCTTGGTTGAATAGCTTTTTCTCCTTGAAACTTTGCATTTCGTGATTTGTAGTTAACTATATGCATAGCATTGAAAAAGAAATTTTGGAATTAACAATAGTTATTATAGTAATTCAGGTAGATTTCATGTTTAACTGATAGTAAAAATCTTTTAATTCACTTATTTAAAAAGAAAAACATCTTTGTTAAAACGAAAAAAAAAATCTGTTTATTTTTTCTTGCTATAATTCTTAAAATCTGAATATTCTAGTGGATTAAGCAAAAACACTGTTCTGATTTGTCTGATATATTTAAGACTTAAAATATATAAAAGATCTAAAAAAACCCGTAGGAAATTCAGCATTTATTACTGTCAAATAGTCATTGATTGAAATTTACACCAAAATAAAAAAAAATTAGAACATCCAAAACAGTTTTTGGCATCAATTAACGTTAATTTCATTATATTTAAATTTAGTGCAAACCGATAGGCTAAGAAATCGGAACACCAAATATCGTTGTACACACAATTGAATTATTTAGTTTATATATGCAATATTAAGGTGCTAAAAAGCTGATCTCAGTGTTTCTCTTCAAAACCAGACGACTTTTCTAATACGGCCAGTGAAGTTTGCCAAAAAAAAAAAATCTTTATGGAATCAATTACGGTATTTTTATGCAAAAACTATATAATTTAACTTAGGTTCTTGTAAATTTTACGATAGATTTTGCACAACTAAAACGAAGCTAATTAACCCTTCAACAAAGTTTGCATTTACAGTTGTTTTTCAGCTGTTTTTTCCTTTGAAACAGAAATCTTTTCAGGTGATATAATTACCACTTTCATTTTATCAAAAATTTTTTTTTGTGGCAATGAAAATTAGAGTTGTTTTTTTCTTGTTGTTGTTGTTGTCGTCGTCGTCGTTGTCGTCGTCAAAATTTTATCACTTTATCTTTGTAGTAATTCTTAAATAGTTCAAAAAATAAATAATTTTTTTTTAGTGAAATAAGTTTTTGCTGAAGTTGTTGAGGTAAATCAGTGTAAACCTTAAAACTAGGTATTTATCTGCTGTAAAGTATTAGATTGTCTGTTGTAATTCTAATTACGTTTGACAAATCAAACGACGACAACACATATGATAATCGGCAAAAACAAAAAAAAAAAAAAAAAAAAAGAATTTGATCATGAAAAA